CATAAAAATGTCATCAAAAAACTCCACCGGTAACCTACCTAAACGGCGGCGGTCGGACGGAGGATCCTGTCCCTCCGGCTGGACAGGATCTTTTCCGATCTCTCCTATATTGTTAAGTTTAAAATGATTTCATATGCATATCAAGTTTTTCTTTACAAATAGGATTAGCTCCTGATACTCACTCAAGTTCTAACGAAGAGTCACCCCATATTAATGACACCAATATTGCATATATAATTTTTTAAAAATATAAAGATTTATCAAACAATTCAACCATCCTATTTTCCATATTAAATAAATAAATAATTTCGTAATATATGAGCAAAAGTAAGGATAATGGATAAAAATATAACTTATTGATTGTTTAGTGATTATGGTTATGTTTAAAATTATACCAAAGTAACTATAAAAGTGTACACATAGTCAATTTAGTTACATTTTGTCCACAATATTTTTTTGAGGTTGTTTTTCATATAGTCACTACGATATAAATTAAAGCGTAATCTATCTATTTATATATAAGAAAGCAATAGGCTCATTAAAATACAATTTTACCCTCAAAAAATCATATGTGTCATTCTCTCCACAATTCTCTCCCTCATTATATAGATGCCACGTGGCAAATTCTAGGATTTTGTACTTGGGAAGTGGGCCTCACTCACCGGGCTCAGTATGAGTCTGTGTATTGGGCCTATGAAATAAAAATAATAGGTCGGGGTCCAATATCCCAACATGTGTTTTGCGATGATGTTGCTTGCAGATGAAAAAAACATATGAAGCTTTGAAAGAAGTTAAGAATTTGATTTGTAACAATTTTTGGATTTGGTGTTTGCGATTCAATATAACTATTAGTCTAGTTTCTAGATATATAAATTTTTATTAACTACAACTAACATGAAACTTGGAGACTAAAAAAGTAATTATTATTATTTCTTGGTGTTGTGTATAACTAAAGAATAATAGAAGTTTGAAATAAGAAGTTTTTTATTGTGAAGATTTTGCGATATTCATATTATATGAAGAAAAGAACGAAGGCGAGATCAGTCCGGCCTAATATATTCATCTTGGGTTGTATTTATCTGAGAAAAGGGGCAAATAAGGTCATGTACTAACCAAAAAAAAGTCAAATAAGGCCTTATTTAGAAGGCTCTGTCTGGCAATTGCTATTTGAGGTGGTTCCCGGTGAAATTTTTGTATGAAATTTTTTGAGCATCTTATTGATTAAGTGTAGTTTACTCATACCAAATTTCAGCGAACAATTCAATCGGGAAGACATTCAAATGAATTCTTGAAGATAACTGCACATTTAAAAGCGCAGTTATCTTCAAGAATTCATTTCAATGACTTCCCGATTGAATTGTTAGCTGAAATTTGGTATGAGTAAACTAGACTTAATGAATAAGATTCTCAAAAAAATTCATCAAAAAATTCCACCGGGAACCACCCAAAATGGCGACGACCGGACAGAACCTCCTAAATATGGCCTTATTTGATCTTTTTTGGTTAGTACGTGGCCTTATTTTCCCCCTTTCCCCTATTTATCTCCATTTCTCTGCACAATTTCATCATTTAAACGGACATCGATAATTCGATATACATTGTTGTGACAATATATTATTTTGATTATCTTCTTCAAAACGATGCCAACACTGTCATTATCTGTCACACTCATGTACCAAGGAATTCACTAGGGGTGGGCATAACAATTTGGTTTAACCGAACCGAACTGTACCAAACCGACCAAAATCGGACCGTATGTAATTTGGTTTGAGTTTGGTACTATTTCTTTCAAACCGTATTAAGCCGAACCGAAACCGATAAAAACCGAACAAAACCGAACCAAACTAAAGAAATTCAAAAGCAATTCATATATTATTAACATTGGTGGTTTGATTTAGTTTGGTTTGGGTTTACTTAAGTAAACCGTTTGGTAAACATTTGCTCAAACCGAATGGTTTGGTACTTTGATTTGGTTTGGATTAAAACGGAAAAACCGTAAACGGAACCGAACACCAAACAACATATGCATCTATATATACTTTGCATTTATCTTCACTCTTCATTTTTAAAATATAAATAAATAATTTAGACATGAATATACATATTTATGCATATACTCGTATCATTTTAATTTTTACACATTTCATACATTCATTATGACAAAGTTAGCTAATACGACATATTTGTACGGAGTATTTATTATGTTTGACGATAACAATAGCAAATTACATTTATATTTTTACATGATTCATTTGAATAAAATTGTGAATATTACAACATTTGTACCACCGACTCTTTTAGGTTTTTTGAATATTTTATGTGATATTACAAATGCTAATCAACTATCTTATTTTTTTGTAAGAAATGAATTTTTTGTAGTGATACAAAAGATGTTACAAGTTTTAATTTATAATATTTTATTATTTACTTTTCTATCTTTTATTTCCTTTTACATTTTATTTAAATAATCAATAGATTAAAAAAAGATGATATGGACTACTACTTTCATTTTCTAATTCTAAAATATAGAACCTGATCAAAAAATAATAATAATAAACATAAGCAAACAATTCAAACCAAGCTAAATTAAACATAATAATTTTTTCTTTGGTAAACTGAACTTCAAACCGAACCGAAACCGAACTGAAACCGAACCGAAACCAAACCGAAACACAAATGGTTTTAGTTTGGTACAAATTCTCCCAACCCGAATAAACCAAAACCGAAGAAAAACGAACCGTAAACCGAATTGCCCACCCCTAGAATTCACCCATACTCCCGATGCCTACGCTAGTGTTTCAAGCAAAACTGACCAACCACACAAAAACCAGTAAATATAATATTTATATTTTAACATACATGAGTTTATTCCTCTTACATGTGTGGCCATTGAAAGACAAATATTGAAATGCAAGTGCTCTTCTCAAGTCTTGAACAGACCAATTTGTTGTTTGAGCTTAAATGACTCAAATGTAAAGTATGCATCCCATGTCAAAGAAATATGGCCAGTTTATACCTTAGAGCCCACGTGCTCGGGCCAACTTGCTCACCAAATATTTCGGTAGGAAAAGAAAATTTAGATCAATCAAGAATGAGAGTTAGAGGCCCTATAAGATGGTTGGTTTGAGCTATAAAAGAAAAAGCCAACTAACTTATACAAGGAAATTAAAAACAAGAAAAAATAAATTAAAAGGTCAGATACTGTTTTATAGTATTAATACTGTTAACACTGTCATCTAAGAGAAAACAAATCACATAGAAACCCGCCTATAGTGCTACCACCACAAAAGTTCCCAAAAATAGAGACAGGGTGAATCAGTAACTTTCCGAAATTAAGATTAAAATTACTACATTAAAACAAGTTATTTTGAAGGTGTCACAAAGTTGCTAGTCACGTCAGCATCACTCTTGTTTTGCTAGGATTGAAAACATTATTGTGAATTCATTACTTCACGAGATTGTTAACAGCAGGATGTGCAGGGAGAATATCATCAACAAGGTTGGGCGGAGGAGGAACTCCTGTCGGGTCTTCAATTTTTATTGGAAGGCCCCAGGAAGAAGTATCAAAGTCTGGAAAGCGTTTGCGTAGAGCATCATAGATCCGGCATTGAGCAGTTGACACTCCTTGTATGAAAGACCGCACCACTTCCTCGGCAACAATATCTTTGCATCGTTTTGTCTGTAAAAATGTATTTTCATGATCAACCAAGGCCTTTTGGTACTCCTCAGATTTCTTGTACTTCTCAAGATAATCAGTTAAGTCTTTCTTGTGCTCTTTGGACCCCTTATGCTTTTCAAGATGCTTATTAAATTCATTTTTGTAAGCATCGGAACTTTTATATCTCTCAAGATGATCAGCCAGTAACTTTTTGTGCAGACTGGACGTTTTGTACTCTTCAAGGTGGTCAGCTAAAGCTTTCTTGTGCTCTCGGGAGCCCTTGTACTTCTTGAGATGATTTGCTAGCTCTTTCTTGTATTCTTCTGAGTTCTGATGCAACACCAGATGGTTGGTCAAATCTTTCTTGTAATCCTCGGACCTTTTGTATCGCTCAAGATGATCAGCTAGTACCTTTTTGTGATCTTTAGAATCTCTGTACTTCTCAAGATGGTCAGCAAACGCTTTCTTGTGCTCTTCAGAACCCTTGTACATTTCCAGGTGACTGGCCAAGTATTTAGTCAAATCTTTCCGGTAATCTTCAGACTTCTTGAATCCTTGAAGATGATCAGCCAAAACCCTTTTGTGCACATCGGAGGCTTTGTACTCCTCAAGGTGATCAGCTAAGGCTTTCTTGTACTCTTGAGAGCCCTTGTACTTCTCCAGATGATTTGCTAGCTCTTTCTTATATTCTTCTGAATTCTTATGCAACAAAAGGTGCTTAGTCAAATCTTTCTTGTTATCCTCGGACCTTTTGTATCTCTCAAGATGATCAGCCAGTAACTTTTTGTGCTCATTAGAAGCTTTGTACTCCTGAACGTGGTTATCCAGGGTTTTCTTGTGCACATTAGAGCATTTGTAGTTTTCCAGGTGATTGGCTAATTCTTTCTTGTAATCTTCTGAATTCTTATGCAGCACAAGATGGTTAGTCAAATCTTTCCAGTGTTCTTCAGACTTTTTGTATTTCTCAAGATAATCAGCCAATACTCTTTTGTGCTCATCAGAACGCTTGTAGTTTTCCAGGTGATTGGCCAAGTCTATCTTGTAATCCTCTGAATCCTTATGCATCATAAGGTGCTTAGCCAATTCTATCCTGTAATCTTCAGAATTTTTGTATCTCTTGAGATGATCAACCAGTACCTTTTTGTGCTCATCAGAACGTTTGAATTCCTCCAAATGGACATCCAACTCTTTCTTAAACATTTTAGAAGCCCTGAACTCCTGGATGGCCTTATTGGTAAAGTCAGTCTTGATATCTGCAAACTCATCAGAGTCCAGAAAATCTTTTATAATCGACTTTCTGGTTCTGTGAAGATCTCTTTGAATGATCTTCATTTGCAAGACTCGGGAAGTCAGAACATCAAACCTGTTCCTAGAAGCACTCAGATCATCGCTTGCAGAAGTGTTGGCATAATTTTTCAATTCAAGGACACACAAAACACACTGCAAGAGGCGAGATAGAGGAGGGGACCAAGCCGATCAAAATTAAAAGAGTAATAATGACAAACAAATGAATAAAACAAAAATAGTGGACAACAGTATCACTTTTACTAAGCAGTACATGACCATAATAGAGTATTGAAAAGTGATTGTATAGTAGCCATGGTGATGTTCTATTATAGTACTACGTATTATACAATGGAGTGACCATGATTGTATTTCAGCAGGAACTGTAGGTATCATGTAGTCATATTTTTGTTCATAAATTTTATTTTAGAACATGCAAAAACCAAGGGAAATAATGACTATATAAAGTACCTTGAAGGCATATATCATCACAGATTCGCACAGTTTCTCTGAAAATACACTCTCCAGTATTTCCATATCAAACGGAGGATAAGTGTCCTCTGAGACTTCTTCAGTTTTGATGGTACTCGTTGTTAATGAAATGTTATGTTCATTGCCCAAGTTCACTCGGGGCTTCTTTGTTACACACAAGGCAATAGGAGAAGAAGGTGAGTTTCTTTTGTTCTGTCCATGGCATGGTGGACAGGCTGATGAAGGTGGAAGGCTCTTAGAATTATTTACCGAGGAAGAGGCATCAGGCAACAACACAGTTTTAGGGATCCCGGAAGCTATAGTAGAGTGAGGATCAGAGGCTTGCCCAGGCTTCCCTTTATCAGGACTGAGAATTTTCTTTGAACGGACAACAAGGTCTGCTGTGCTGAACATATTCACATGACCTGCAAAGAAGGATGAATTTATATGTGTGTGTACATAAGAATTACAAATTAGATAGATGGAATACTACCCAGTCATTGGAAAAATAACCTGCATGATATTTATATGTTCTTGGCAATTTATTTCTTCATAGAAATACAGGTCCTATTTGGTAGCATTTGAAAGCTTATTCTGCTTAACATTAAGCAGAATAACTGAATAAGTAGCTTTTGACTTGTGTTTTGAAACTCTATTTCACTCTTTTATTTAAAAAATCGAGTAGACTCAACCATATAATCAAATATCATGAGCCATAAATCATTGCCAAATATAATCAAAGTAATTATTCCTATTTCAATTCTGGCAAAAATTATCCCAAAAAAGATATCTATCGAATTACTTCACTAACTTCACAGGTCTTTTTTCGATTCTGATAATACCTGTAACTTTTTCTACCGGAAATGTTTCAGCATTTCCACCAGAGTGCTTTCTTCTTTCTTCAGTTTCTCCTTTATAATTAGTAAGTAATTAGTCATAATGTAAGGGACCGCTAAAATAAATAAATAAATGAATAAATAAATGCGGGAAAATTGCTGCATTTATTTGGTGGTATATTGGTTCATCAATGCGCTCTTTACTCACCTCCATCATCGCTCTTTTGAGAAAGAGTTTTGGGGGTTTTATTAGGTTCCTGTTCAGCATATCTATTATCGAGCAGCTTTCTATGATAATCGCGCACCTTACTATAAAAGGCCTGCATGTTCTTGCCGTACTCGGCCTCAAGTTTAACAGCCTTGAGTAAGTAAGGAGCTTTATCGGCGGCGGACATATTCCTCCACTCTTCACCCCCGGCTCGAGAGACAACTACTGCAGATGATTTACTGAACGGATTTCGCTCATTAAAAGTCTTCCGGAAATCCTCCATGAAAACGAAGAAAGCGCTTAGAGGCCTTTTCGGTTGGTTTGGACACTTTCCGACATTCATGGCAAAACCGGTGAAAATCGGAATAACTTGGCAGCCGCCCTAATTTACACGCTAGAGTAACGGACTAACTGGGCAAGGAACTGTACTCTGGTTTTGGGGGAAGACGAATCAAAATTGCTATGGGTACCTCAAATCTCAAATGGTACCTCATTCATACCCCATATAAAACCCCTTCACCATTTTTACCTCACTCCCTTTTCCATTTAAAAAATTTACCCCCAACTCTCTTCTTCCTTCCAAAACTCCACACCAGCCCTCTACCAACTCTCTCCACTCCCCTGCGACAACACCCTCCCCTCTTTCTCACTGTGACAACACCGGCCAACACCCTCCGCGACAACACCGGCCAACACTCCTTCCGTCTCACCCTCCCCTCTTTTTTTTTTGTGTTTCGAACGGAGAGCTACAGTGCTAGGGCGAAAGGAGGTCATCCATGGACACCATTTACAACCCTCTTCAATGGAGTTGAGCTACAGATTGTCCACAGATTCCCCTTAGTATGCCTCTTTCTCCCTTTTTCATCTTTCTTCATTTTTTATTATTTATTTTTTTAATTCATATGTAATACTCTATATATCTTGTAATGTTAATGGTTGAATATATTGTGTTATTGTGATGAATTTGTGATGTTTATTCTTACAATTTTAGTCCAACTATTCTAGGTCATTAATATGCCCATAACATGTTTGTTGAAATGCTTAAATGAATTTTTTGTTTATGTCCTCTTATGTTATAAGGATTTTGGATTTTTGTTTTACTAGTATAAGTTTCAACTTTAAATTGTGCATATTGTTGTCTGGTGTATTACTTGAAGTGCATATATGGTTGACTTCTCTTAGTAGTTGGTAATGGGTTAGTATTTTAAAAATTGTTTGTAGTTATCTGTCATGTGAAATTAGTTGTCTGACAAGCCATTTGAGTTGTCTGTTACTTCATTTTGAACTGTTGCAACTAGGTTTGTAGTTGTCTGTCATGTGAAATTAGTTGTCTGGCAATCCATTTGAGTTGTCTGTCACTTCATTTTGAACTGTTGAAACTTGGTTTGTAGTTGTCTGTCATGTGAAATTAGTTGTCTGGCAAGCCATTTGAGTTGTTTGTTACTTTATTTTGTACTGTTGAAACTTGGTTTGTAGTTGTCTGTCATGTGAAATTAGTTGTCTGGCAAGCCATTTGAGTTGTCTGTCACTTCATTTTAAACTGTTGGAACTAGGTTTGTAGTTGCCTGTCATGTGAAATTAGTTGTCTGGCAAGCCTTTTGAGTTGTCTGTAGGGTATTCAATTCAACCTTTATTACAATACATAAATTGTCTGTATAAGTGTCATAAATATCTGTCTTGGTTATACTTATCTGTCTACAGGATGTTGGATTTTTGTTACAATCCTCTTATGTTTTAAGGATTTTGGATTTTTGTTTTACTAGTATAAGTTTCAACTTTAAATTGTGCATATTAGGAATGTTTCAGATAGTAAGTATTCCAAACCTTGAGTTATTTGAGTTGTCTGTATTTGTTTTTTAGACTAGAGGAGTTGTCTGTCACTTGCAAAATAGACGTCTGTAATTGATATTTAATTGAATTTTCTGTCATTTTCTTGTTAGTTGTCTGTATTTGTTTGAGTTGTCTGTAATGACTTGTCTGTCATGTTGTTGTGATAAGTCTGTAAGAGTAGTGAAGTTGTCTGTCATTTTAAAAATAGATGTATGTAATTTATATTTACTTGTCTGTGTTAAGTGTTCTAAATGTTTGTCTAAACTTTATTTGTCTGTCTGCAGATCTGGAGAAGTTAATGCTTACAGATTATGACTACACCAACATGTCGAACAAAAGACTTGAATTTGCTATTGAATTTTGGCGCTTGAAGAAGGCTGAAGCATAGAGTGTTGGAGAAATGTATCGATTTTGAACTTCTGATATTTTTAATGTGTATTTTTTTTTACAAACATTACATATTACAGTTGGGGAAATGTGTCAAATATTATACAATGTTGAAGAATTGGATTGGTTTTTTGAACATGTGTAAGTTTTTGCAAACATTACATGTATAATTATCCAGTTATGTGTGTTGATTTTTTGTGTGTCTAGGTACCGTATTGTTTGTATGTGTAAACTTATTGTCTCTCGGTATAAAACTAATGTCTGTCTGATTATTCTATTGTCTGTCTAGATATATGTATTGTGACTATTGTCTGTCATTTTTACGAAACATATGCCAAAAATGGTAATTGACAACAAACTAATGCATGTATGTGTATACCTAATGTTAACAATGATAATTCACAACAAACTAATGTTTCAATTCAACCTCTTATTATCAAACATTGCGTTAGTGCGAGAAATTAATTAACTTTTCAAAAAATTGGTTTCTTCATACCAACATTGGGGCCTTTAATACAACTGTTTTCTTTCATTTCATCTGTTATTCCAAATGAATATAAATGTTCAAAATAACAAAGTTCCACATTTCAAAGGAATTCCTTTGTTTCCTCCACACTCTTCAATCACCACAAACGAACAGCGTATTGACATCTCTTGTTCCACATGTTTGCATATTCACACTTTGGAACCAAGGGCTTTCCCATGAACAGGTGCTCTGCAAAGGATGCAACCATTGCTCCACATTCTTCGGACCTGTAGACAGACAAGTATAACCAATACAGATATTTACGACACTTATACAGACAATTTATGTATTGTAATAAAGGTTGAATTGAATACCCTACAGACAACTCAAAAGGCTTGCAAGACAACTAATTTCACATGACAGACAACTACAAACCTAGTTCCAACAGTTCAAAATGAAGTGACAGACAACTCAAATGGCTTGCCAGAAAATTAATTTCACATGACAGACAACTACAAACCTAGTTCCAACATTTCAAAATGAAGTGACAGACAACTCAAATGGCTTGCCAGACAACTACTTTCACATGACAGACAACTACAAACAATTTTTAAACTACTAACACATTACCAACTACTAAGAGAAATCAACCATATATGCACTTCAAGTAATACACCAGACAACAATATGCACAATTTAAAGTTGAAACTTATACTAGTAAAACAAAAATCCAAAATCCTTAAAACATAAGAGGATTGTAACAAAAATCCAAAATCCTGTAGACAGACAAGTATAACCAAGACAGATATTTATGACACTTATACAGACAATTTATGTATTGTAATAAAGGTTGAATTGAATACCCTACAGACAACTCAAAAGGCTTGCCAGACAACTAATTTCACATGACAGGCAACTATGATAAGTCCGTATTTAGACACGCATTTGATGCGTGTTCAGGTCGGATTTTGATGATTTTCCTAGCTTTAAGGCGATGCAAGTCTCAATTTTGGCTCAAGTTGTGTTTAGCAGGCGTTGGATCGAGTTTCATTGCATTTGGAGTTGATTTGAAGAAGTTAGAGTCCGGCAATCGGCGCTTGAGAGGCATTCGGGAAGGATTTGAAGGCATTCGAGAAAGATTTGGAAGATTTGGAGGCCACCGGGAGATTCGTGACGAAATTCTGGTAAAGAAAGAGCATTTGGATCAACCTCGTAGGCATCCGGGAGCATTCGGAGCAAGAAAACGAAGGAAAAGTGAAGAATAGGGTCAGGCACGCCGTGCCTGGCAGCTTGGCACGCCGTGCCTGAAGCGTAAATTATCCTGGGAGCTACTGGAGGCCAGGCACGCCGTGCCTGGCATATTTCAAGGAAATTGACTACTAGAAGCCAGGCACGGTCGTGCCTGGACGCGAAATACGGATTTCTTCCGTAGGCACGGTCGCAGGCACGGTCGTGCCTGGCACCGTGCCTGGCCGCGATTTGTCCTAATTCGACCCGAATTCGTTGTTTTCTATAAATAAGGCCTCCATACCCACTTTTGGGGTTACGAACATTACGGAGAGGCCTAGGGACGAATTTAACACCGTTTTTACGCTATTTTCTTCCAAGACCCTGGGATTATTTGTAAGTTCAATTCTTTAATTAATGACAATTTATTCTATTCATCCCAATTCTTTTGATTCGTCAATTATGAGGCGTGAGTAGTTTAATTAGGGATTTGGGGTTGATGAAGGGGTTAATCATGATGTATGGCTAGATTCTTGTCGGTTTAATTGCATGAATGCCGTTTAATTTGTGTTTGAATAATTTAACTGATATCTCTTGTAACCTAGATGGCCACTAGAATTACAATTGCTTATAGAATAAATTAAGAGAGATCTAATTTGTTCTAGGACACATTCACACACACGTAATCGTTCGCTAAGAGATTAGTAGCGATTAAGGGGCCGTAAGCTCGTTCGTTTTGGCAATAATTTAGGATCTTGTCGCATGAGAGATCAGCCTGGATCCCTAAATTATTGTACTCTACGCCGCGAGAGCGGTAAGAACTTAGTAATGATTAGCTAGGCTCAATTAAATGAAATTCATGTGATTAGGCCTGTTCTGCCAGAAATCTGGTTAACCCCGGAATCAATTCCTGTTCCCTTCGTCGTTAATTAAGGAAAACCAAATCTTTTTATTCGCTCATTAGCATTAGTTTTAGTTTAATCAATCAACCAATCTCGCACAATTGCACTTTTATTTTATTTATTTATTTCTTTTTAATCGCTAAAGTTTAGTTAATCTTTATTTCCCTTTTGTCCGTCCCTGTGGAGACGATACTCGTACTTTACACCACTATATTACGATCTATTTTAAGTGCGAGAAAACACTCATTAAACTACAAACCTAGTTCCAACAGTTTAAAATGAAGTGACAGACAACTCAAATGGCTTGCCAGACAACTAATTTCACATGACAGACAACTACAAACCAAGTTTCAACAGTACAAAATAAAGTAACAAACAACTCAAATGGCTTGCCAGACAACTAATTTCACATGACAGACAACTACAAACCAAGTTTCAACAGTTCAAAATGAAGTGACAGACAACTCAAATGGATTGCCAGACAACTAATTTCACATGACAGACAACTACAAACCTAGTTGCAACAGTTCAAAATGAAGTAACAGACAACTCAAATGGCTTGCCAGACAACTAATTTCACATGACAGACAACTACAAACAATTTTTAAAATACTAACCCATTACCAACTACTAAGAGAAGTCAACCATATATGCACTTCAAGTAATACACCAGACAACAATATGCACAATTTAAAGTTGAAACTTATACTAGTAAAACAAAAATCCAAAATCCTTATAACATAAGAGGACATAAACAAAAAATTCATTTAAGCATTTCAACAAACATGTTATGGGCATATTAATGACCTAGAATAGTTGGACTAAAATTGTAAGAATAAACATCACAAATTCATCACAATAACACAATATATTCAACCATTAACATTACAAGATATATAGAGTATTACATATGAATTAAAAAAATAAATAATAAAAAATGAAGAAAGATGAAAAAGGGAGAAAGAGGCATACTAAGGGGAATATGTGGACAATCTGTAGCTCAACTCCATTGAAGAGGGTTGTAAATGGTGTCCATGGATGACCTCCTTTCGCCCTAGCACTGTAGCTCTCCGTTCGAAACACAAAAAAAAAAAAAGAGGGGAGGGTGAGACGGAAGGAGTGTTGGCCGGTGTTGTCGCGGAGGGTGTTGGCCGGTGTTGTCACAGTGAGAAAGAGGGGAGGGTGTTGTCGCAGGGGAGTGGAGAGAGTTGGTAGAGGGCTGGTGTGGAGTTTTGGAAGGAAGAAGAGAGTTGGGGGTAAATTTTTTAAATGGAAAATGGAGTGAGGTAAAAATGGGGAAGAGTTTTTATATGGGGTATGAATGAGGTACCATTTGAGGTACCTATAGCAATTTTGGAAGACGAATAGATTCTAAAAAGAATACTCCGTATACGGTACTTCTTACACATATAATAAAATCAATACTCCGTACTTGCGAATAAATGTAAAAAAAATTAAAATTTCCGCTGCCGGGAAGTCGAACCCGGATACTAACTCAGCGATTAAGCTAGTTAGATTCTAGTCCTGCAATCATCATGTTATAATCTTATCTTAAAAAAATTATAAAAGCCAATGAAGGTTAGTACCCTTTTGGGCATGAAAATTTTGTTGGTGGTATACTATTGCTCTACAAACTTGTACAATATGTTCAAGGCATTGTACACTTGTTATTTTTCAGTCGTCTCTTCCGATGTCTTCCGTTAAATAAACCTCACCATTCTTACTTCATCCCATATTCTGGTGTGTTCCGTTAAATCTCAAAGTCTTATATCACCCTATCCTTGTCTGCGTTTTTACTCACTTCCAAGTTCGAAGTATGTTGAATCTTGGGTTTCGTTGGGAGGGTGCCCTAGAGCACTCAAACCATATTGTTCTACTCTACTAACAACCGAAGCAGGTTTTTACAACCCTACCTCTAATTTCTCTCTGTCTTCTCCGTTCCACCATAACAGCTCTCTATATTTCATTTTTTGTATGAAACTGTGATAAATCAATTTTATCAATGTGGAAAAACCGAAAAGGATGTATGATACGTAAATTGCAATCCGTACATATGATGCATCAATTGTCTTCTGAGTTGCTTTTTATCTCTTATGTAAATGGGACCAGGAGGTTGGAAGTGGGAGCTAGAGGGTATAGTTACTTCCAGACTTTTAGTTAAAACATGGTTGGTAATTGGAATTCAATATTTTAACAAAAATATTAACATCTATGTTGTAAATTCCTTAGGCTTATGTATAGGCTTATAACAAAAATATAGTTTATTTTCCTTAGGGACAATCTATGTTAACATATTTTCAAAACCAAGGCACAAAAAGGGTTAATCCGAAATTATTTAAGGAGTAATATAATGTCTGGAGTGTGCAAATGAAGAAAGTGACCATGATTAAGAGAATGAAATGGAAAGTTATTTGAATAAAAGTAGGTAGATGAAGTATTGAACAAAGTTCAAGCAGCCTAGGCAGCCTATCCAAGACGTTTTGGTTGTAAATTAACCATTTTTCACAAAATAATTGATAATATAAATACTGCTCCTTTCAGATTTATAGAAAATACAAATGATACTACTGTATAAAACATCCTACATTTCAGCTAATTTCAAAGAATGGTTGAAGTGAGGTTTTTTGTTTTTCTTCTGAAAGTTACTTCATACATAGTAAGTGAAATGAAACCAGAGTGTTCATTTAAACATCATAAAGAAAAACATACAGACCAATAAACACATTGCTATCTCTTAAGATGATTTTTTTAACCATTTTTCTATTTTTAAACTTGATGGTTTTAATACCATAAAAAAAACTTGATGCTTTTGATTGGTTTTGGTTTCAAGTCCATTACTTTCTATTAGGAATAAAGTTCTATTATCAATTTAATAAATTTTGACCATCATATGTTCGCCATACTTTATTTCATTCTAAAGTCCATCAATACTTTGCTGCATAATTTATAATCCTTTCTGAGGTTCAAACGGAAAATTAGTGATGAACTACTTTCTTTGATAGATTTTTAGGGTCTAAAAAAATTTTACATCTTGCCCCTTGCATGAATAATTGAATGTATCACTACATTAAAGACAGATAATCAAATTAACATCAAAAGAGGGAGTCTCAATATATTGATTTAGACCTCCTAAAGGAGATAGAATCATACTCCAGCCCAAATATACTCATGAGCCCTGATATGTGTTTCTTATATTAGCCTCACCTGGTAAGCACTAAACATTTAGATAAAGTAAATGAGTTACTATAGTATGCGGACATGTAAAAATAGATCAACATTTCACAAAAATTTAAAAACTTAACAAACCTTTCCAACAATACTTTCTCTGCCTACAATAGGATAAATATTATCAGCCTTTCTAACAGACACAAATATGATACTATTAAATCGTTCAAAAAGTTCCAGTCATTACTCTACTCGAATAGAATAATATAAAAAAGAATTTAAATTGTAGATCTTGAAATGGATCATACCTAATCAAAACGAACCAACACAAACACTCCTATAATCTAAAAACTTATAAACACCAATGATGATTAGGGCATTTTAGGAATGATAAAAATGTTGGTGTAACATTATAGCAAAATGCTCTTGTACCATTTGTTTTAGGCATTGCACCATTCACTATAATCTCTTTATCTACTCCTTACTTCCGTTAAAAACCAAACGGAAGAGTTTCCAAGTTCGTACATGTGCCCTTGGCATTTTACTTCATACTTGATTGAATTTATTTCCATTCAATATTTCCACTTAATTTTTCATTTGTAATAAAATCTTCTCTACGTGACCTTATTTGTTATGTAGAGGATAAAAATACAAATTTTATGTAAATTAAACTATTATTATTATGATCATCTTATCAATAATTTTATTATTATCAATGTTATTGTTATCATTATTATTATCGTATTACTATTATCAATATTTTTATGATTATTATTAATATTTATTATTATTTTTGTTCTTGTTATTTGTATGCTATTAAAAATATAAAGACATAATTAAGTTGTTGCTATTATTATTTGAAAAAGAGAGATTTGCAATTTTAATCTTGTAACTTTCGGTTGTTATCGTTACTGGTCATGTAACTTTAATCACATGCAAATTTGGTCCTGTAACTAACAAGTCTTTTCAATTTAAAGAATTTTCCATCGGAAAGTACATTTTCTGGCAGAAAAAACCGACGCCGGCGACATCTTTTCCGGTATACTATCATCGAAGAGTGTACTTTTCAAGGAAAAAGTCTTTGAATCACAAATATTAATTAGTTACAGGATCAGATTTACAAGTTACTAAAGTTACGAGACTAATAATGAAAACGGCCGAATGTTACGGGAAGAAAATTGCAAATTTCCCTTCTGAAAAACTATAACATAATTTCAAGAAGCCGATATCTTGCCTTAATATGTCTTAAATTCCTTTATTGCAGAGTCATAAGTGTCAATTGAAAATGTAAATATGTGTATAGATATAGTTTTATTATAAACGGTAGATGTCAAATCATCACCACAGTCACCCCCAACTCAATCCCAAGTACTCCGTAATATGTCTGTCCATTGAAATATTTTATTTCATATGCTTATCAGAGAAGAATATTAAGCTATTGAATCAGAAATATTATTGATTTTACCTCAGTGGAACTATATATTAATCACACTCGTTATTGTACCCGCCACTTAATAACTACATATTGGCCTATTGGGTTCAAATATTAAAGTGGCGCACATGTTTTGCACGCTATAAACCTCATCATTCAGCCCACTATTTTTTATTGTCTATTATCACTATGTTGATATTATATTCTTTTTTTTGGTAAAGTGTTGATATTATATTGAGAGAATTCCCTAAATAGGAGTAAAAACGTTTTGAAATTCCAAAATAGGAGTAACATGTTTTTTATTCCCTGAATATGAGTAATCTGCCAAATTTGGAAAAAAATGCCATGTTTAAAAGCCTTGTAATGCCAAACTTGACCCCTATTTAGGGCAATTTCTGTATTATATTCTAATAAAGTGTTTGTGTACAATTTCAAGCAACCCAAATATAATAATCATTAACATTCCATTATATTAACCTTACGAAAATAATTTTGGACATTTTTTCCTCGCGCATCGCGCGTCATACAACTAGTTGATTGCTACAGCGGAACTATTGACACAACTGTGTATAATGTGAGTTTGCCTAGTAATTATACTCCGTACTAACTACTAAGTAATTATTTAAAAAAGTAATTTTTGTTTAGTAATAATTTTTTTACTAAGTAATTATTAGGTAAATTCCAAAAAAAGTTCACGACATATACTCCGTATACGAGAGGAAGCGGTCCAGCCCAGCTGGTCGCTGACTCACTCTCCCTTATGGGAGGTCCCGGGTTCAATTCTCAATAGAGTGAGATTGATCCCCTCCCCTGATGCCTCTGGGGTAAAATAAAAAATAAAATACTCTGTATATGATAGTACTATGCAGTGGAGGAGCTAGGGAGGGGCATGAGGGGGCAAGCGCCTCCGCTTCGGGCAAATTTCTTTAGTACTACTACTTATAATATATTTAATGCCCCTCCTTTTGTCAAAAATAAATACTGTTTAAGGATAATTTTAGGTTAAATGTTAAAATAAAAGGAAAAGTCTTTTAGGAAACGTATGTGTCTCTAAGAATACAAGTATTGGCGGTAGCATATCACACTCATTTGAATGCAAGTGCGGATTGTTTTAGACATTAAATGACGCATGTGTTAGCTTTTCGTGGTTATAGTGAGCAAGAAAGTGTTGAGTTTGACTAATATGTTGTCACTTTTCTTGTAACAAAAATATCATCAAAACATTCTCGATACTATGTTGGATTCCCTCCTTGGTGGAGAAATTCATGAGAATTTTAGAATTTTTAGAGCATCCAAGATTCTATTTATGTGTGTAGAGATGTGTTGAGTGTTCTAGAATAATAATGTAGAGTTTTTTTTTGGAGAAATATGGAACTCACAAAATCATGTGGAAGCCTCTAGAACATTTTGAAGAATTGTGAGGTTTTCTAAATCCTTCCAAAAGATAAGAGAAGCTTGTGGATACTTTTTGGAAGAATCTTGATGCGTAGTGATGTATAAAAAATTCTAGAGAAACTTTGATGAGATTTATAGAGAAGCTTCTCATTTATATGAGAACTTTGAGGAGATATATTGAGCGAGTGAAAGTGAGAGTCTCCTTGAAAGAGAATAGTGAAAGCCTTCTTGTGAGAAAAGAAGGCTCAAAGATATCGTTTGACGTAGTGTATGTGATCAACTTAGGTGGAATGAAGTAGTCTCATATACAAAAAGTGAATGAGAATAAAACAAAGTGATATTGTCAGATCGAGAATTTGTATTGTGAGTGTGTGGATATATAAGTGTACAAGAGTCTATGAGCTCGTGATCTTGAAAAAGGCTAGGGTCGTGTTTTTCCAACATAAAGTTATTATACAACATTTTGAACAAATTAAAACTCGCATAATTGATTTACCGAGATTATAGATATAAGTCAAGCAGTATGTAATGAACTAATATGTGCTAATGTGTTAAGCTTTTATTGTTTTTATTAAATTTTGAGCAAATACACAAAATTCTTAGCTTTAAGTATGTCCCTCCTGCGAAAAATCTCTGACTCCGCCACTGGTACAATGTACGAGTATATGTTAAGAAACAATTAGGCCATGTTAAATACCAAATCATAGTTTACCGGTATTCCAGTATTGGACACGCATGAAGCATGATAAGTGAAAAAAGGAATAGAACATACTTCGTACACATACCATGGTATAGTGTAAAACTAGAGGCAATGCCCAATAGCGCGTCAATGTGATATATCTATTGAAATGAAAAAAATACTAATAGAGATTTGTGAATTATTCATAGGATTCAAAATTGAATATAATGCATTTTTACTACTCTCTCCGTATTTTTTTTGCTACACTTTCCTTTTTCGGATGTGTTCAAAAATTGGCTACATTTTTCCTTTATGGTAAGTTTTTTCTTTAAAAATATTCAATCACTCTTACTTTTTCTACTTTTTATCTTTTCTTTCATACTTTTCCACCATCTCTCCTACTTTTTTACACTATTCATTATTTCGTTACATGATCTACAGTCTACACACACATATATAGTTATATAGTTTAATACAAGTACTCATTTTATTTTAACTATACACTCATTAGGTATAAGTTAAAATACCCGACAGTATCGTGTGCATGGTACAACCAATTGTACCATATAATTTACCAAAAGTTCAGGGTGTCCTCATTTAGGATTGCAAATACTTTTATAGGTTATATTTGAAAGGAACAGAACAAAGACAGCATCTAAAGTAAACTAACACACTTTTGCCAAAAAAAAGTAAACTAACACACCGGGTGGTACTTTCATTCTTGTGTTGAATACAACAAATTACACTCTCTTTCATATTCATACGAAAACATTATATACGAAAGTCGTTTTGCATCCATATATAGAAATGTTTTCTTTGTTACCCTTAGACACACCACTCTGTGGTTTAAAACAGAAAGAAAATCTATAGAAAAAAGGGGTCCAGAGACTCCAATTTTCTTGGAAGGAATCCAGGGAGCTTCATACTCATATGTGCTGGTGGTATACTTCAATTATATTTTACAAGAAGCTTCAGCTGAAACACGGGCCAATGCAATGGCAGCCTTGGAGCCAGACTGACGTCCCAAATGCTTGCTGATAAACTCGCCGGCCACCAATAGCTTTCCGAGGTCGACGTTAGTTTTCACACCTAAGCCATCCAGCATGTACACCACGTCCTCCGTTGCCACATTCCCTGTAGCTCCTTTTGCATAAGGGCACCCTCCTAATCCGGCTACCGACGAGTCCACCGTGCATATCCCCATCTGTGCATTTATAATAGACACATGACATGAGTTTAAGTCATGCACAACTCTTTGAAAGCACAGGGTGCTGGACTCTTAGCATAGGAACTGAAAGGTGGTGTTTTGCCTGTTATCCTATTCTATCCCGAGTCTGTTTGGTAGATTTTTTTCCATATAAGCCAGTGTTCCTCAACAAAAAAAATACTAGCTTATTTCATTGTGCTTGATAATGTGACTAAATTGTGATTCAGAAGTAACTTGTTTACCTGAAATGTATTAAGTTGATACTTTTTTCTTTGCTTTTTGAAATAGTTTTCATTCACTTATTTCAATATATGTTTCAAAAAACACATGTTTTAAAATAACTGTTTCAGTTAATTAAGCCAACTAGATAATTTCATTCGCAACTTTAGCGATTTCAGCTGAATTGTCCACTTTAGCCATTCTAAGTCTCATCGAACGGGCTCATGTGTTTCGTGGTTGTTTATATCATACCCATTGTCTCGTTGACAGTTTATAAGTATAAAATTAAAGTTTACCACATTAAGTTACAGTGCACATGTAATGACACTGAACTTACTTGGAGAGAAACTAAGATATTTGGAAGAGATTGCCCATAAGTGTCGTGAAAATGGACAGCAAGCTTTTCAACTGGAACAACAGCCATCACCGCTTCCAGCATGGGGATGACAGTTCCTGAAACGAAGGAAAATATAGTCACTCAGAGAGATAGTATCACGCGTCACATGCTAGACTGCTAGTCATGGGATGAAATACTTAGGGCCGTTTCGAAACCAGAAAACAAGATTAAAGTGAAGGAAAACAAAGAGCAAATAAGAATGAAAGAAAGAAAATCACCAGTCATTATCAGCACCTTAATCCCATAGTTAGGTCGTTAGCACTAAATTAAGAAATAATGACAGTGACTATAGTGACCATGATGGCATTCCATTTATTGTGCAGTGACAATGACTATATTTTCGTAGTAACTGCTGTGTGCTGTAACCATGTAAACATGTAGTCATATTTCTTCCTACAAGTTTTGTGAAAAAACGCCTCATATTATGGCTTCAATTCATTAGATACAGTTAATTAGCACTAGAAATTTATGCAAAAAGGTATAGTGGCAATGTTTTCTGCCGAATGCCCTTCTTTGCAACAAGGAATCATCATCATCGTCATCATTACCCTAGTGCCGCAAAAGGCTCCCACCTACGGTAGGGTAGGGGGGGGGGGTCGGATGTATGCAGTCTTACCCTTGTACTAAAGCACAGAGAGACTGTATTTGCAAGAAGGAATAATGATCAAAATTTGATACCGTCATCACTGATGACGCACAATAGGCCGACTCCACATGCACACAAAATATCATGAAACAACAATGCATTGAGGCTAGTAGTATCATGTTCATTTCATGATTGGTATATTTAGATTCAAACATAACATAAAACTTTCCATAGCACTTTTTCTTTCCCCAGGCATTTCCCGTGATCCAAACATACCCTTAATGAGGCAAGAAATGGAGGTTGGCACGTTGGAATAGCAATTATGAGGATTAAGTGATGCAGAGAGAATTACCGGGAGTACCAACTCCTATGGTGTCACCTAGTGAGATTTCAAAGCAACCCATATTGTGAAGTTCCTTTGCCAAATATGCAACTTTTGAAGGTGAAACTGTTCCTTCAACCGGGCACCCAATAACACATGATATATACCCCCGAACGGGTATTGAGAGCTTTTTAGCAGCAGATAAGACGTCTCTGTAACGAACAAGACTCTCCTCAATGCTACAGTTTATGTTCAGCTTTGAGAATGACTCTGAAGCAGATGCAAAAACTGCTACTTCTTTTGCTCCACATGCAATTGCAGATTCAAAGCCCTAATTCATTTATTCAAAACGATAGTAAGTACATAAAAAAATTCAGGGGACAAGGCAGTTAAATAGGGTTTACCCACTTTTAGATTGGGGGTCAATACAGGCAATCTTGCTCCTTCCAAGTCCTTAACTGCTTGCATCACTTCCTTTGCATCAGATAGCTATCAAAAAAAGGAAAAAAGACAGTAAACAGGATATGCTGATGAAAGAACTTAGGTTTCTTCTCTATTCGTTCTTGATTGAAATGGCAACACTGAGTTTTTTTTCGGGATAAGGGTCAGATAGGGCCTCGAACTTGAAAAAAATGTCAAATAAGGCCATATTTAGGATGCTCTGTCCGGCCGACGCCATTTGAGGTGGTTCCCGGTGGAATTTTTTGATGAAATTTTTTGAGAATCTTATTCATTAAGTCTAGTTTACTCATATCAAATTTGAACTAACAATTCAATCGGGAAGGCATTCAAATGAATTCATGAAGATAACTGCGCTTTTAAATGTACAGTTATCTTCAAGAATTCATTTGAATGCCTTCCCGATTAAAGTTTTAGTTCAAATTTGATATGAGTAAACTAGACTTAATGAATAAGATTCTCAAAAAATTTCATCAAAAAATTCTACCGGGAACCACCCCAAATGGCGTCGGCCGGACAGAGCATCCTAAATATAGCCTTATTTGACATTTTTTTTCAAGTTCGAGACCCTATCTGACCCTTATCTCGTTTTTTTTCTATACAAGCTAAAAAATATATTCCCATTCACAAATGTGGTGTAAGAGCCTCTTTGGATTGTATAGGGTCAAAATTGCTTTTACACGAAAACTGATGCTTTGAAAAGTCTAAATAAACAAAAATTGTTTTTGAAGGAAGCATTTGATACGAGGCTTCTATTAGGGATTTCGGTTTCAAGGTTAACCTTATAGAAAGAAGAGTCCAAGACTTTATATGTGAGTTTATATCTATATATTTGACCAGTTTGCAATGACTTAACAGTTTCTCCTAAAAGTAAAATAAATATTTTTTTCTTGTAGAAAAATCAAACAAAAAAAACTTAGTAATTGTACTATCAAATGTTATATGCCTGAACTAAAGATAAAACATTTAGTAGACCCACTTCTTTAAAAACATACTTCTAAAAACCGTTTATAATAAATGCATGACTTATTATTGACCAAAATATTACTCCTAGAGTTTCAATGAATAAAAAGATGACTAGTAACTATTTTGGACATTAAAGTGACTTAAATAGCTCTAACCCTAAATGCATCTCGATATCTTCTTTCTCCCCCCCCCATCAATCTCCTATTTCCCAGCCGTCACAAGAATTTCTCCACAAAAATCCTCCTGAAAAGTCGCCGGAAAATCCCCGCAAACTATTGTCGCCATTAGAGTAAGAGGTGGGATGGTGTCACTAGCGGGGTATCATTAGGGTTGGAGTAGTAAACACTGCGGGGTGTGACGGTCTGACAAGGACTCAGGGAGTGAGTGGCATATTAAAAGTAACATACGAAGTAAGTTTTTTGGAATATTTAAAAAGCTATTGTATCTTTTTTTCTTCAGCTTTTCCTTTAGTCATATTTATGTCAAAAACCCCTTAAAAACATCCAACTGAGAAAATTTATGTTGCAGTGACAAAAGAAGTGACAGTTGTGCTGAAAATACAGGAAGAATAACAATATAATATACCTGAGGTACCCATTTTGGTGAAACAAAACCCGTTACTTCAACCACAGGTAATCCGCAGGAAACAAGTTTACGAATTAATTCAATCTTTACAGATGTAGGAACAGTATTCTTTTCATTCTGTAACCCGTCCCTTGGCCCAACTTCAACTATCTTCACATACTTCGGTACACTACTGAATAACTGTCAAAACAACAGCAAATCTACAATAAAAAACTAAAACTTCTTTTGTAGATCTGTTATTGCTATATGAATCGATACATGCTGATGATCCATAAAAAGAGTGAATTATAGCAGTACCATGTGCCTCTTTCCCCCATTCAAACTTCTCCGGTTCGACACACCATTATATGGTGTATCTCTAAATTGTCTTCTCTTTGCAAAACTTCCTCTGCCATATTCATCAAAATCTTCTCTGCAAGGGTAGCATCTATGCATAAGTGTGAATGAATATCTTGTATAACTCATCAAAATAATGGTAGAAAGGTATCTGAAAACTGGGAGAGTAAATACAAGATATTTTTGATGCCTTGATGCTAACTAAATTATGATTAAGACAATTATAATATTCTTCAGCTATGGGTGTTTTTTAATATTCTGCTTCTACCTTTTGCCAGAAAAGAATGATGAAATATGAAAAAGCACCATCATACAGTTCTTTAGTCAACATACTCAACAAAGCAAGAATACTTAACATTAGAGATTTGAAACTTTTACAGGCCATTCAAAGAAGATTTCTAAAAGCTAGAGGGAATATTTTAATATTCTTTTAAGATAGGCCCTTTTTTGTATTTTTCTATAAAAGAGACTAATGTATAAAGATATTAGGATATAAGATATGCATGATTATTCTTTGAATAATGAAAACTGAGGCAGTGGAATGTCCAACTCGTTACTAATACATACGGAGTAGTATTTATATATCTAATGTATATAACATTCAGATATTAGTAATTACTAATTAGTACCCCTTAAAAAGATATTAGTAATCAGTAATAGGTGTTGTATATTAAATTACTAATACATATAAATATAATTTTTAAAAACTCTGGTATAGCATTAAAGAACCTATTCAGGTCTCATTAAGTAGAAACATGAACCATCACTTGGTATAAAACTGACATGCAATGCAAAAGCAAATGTTTTCGGTAACCAGTACCCCTTAAAAAGATATTAGTAATCAGTAATAGGTGTTGTATATTAAATTACTAATATATATAAATATAATTTTTAAAAACTCTGGTATAGCATTAAAGAACCTATTCAGGTCTCATTAAGTAGAAACATGAACCATCACTTGGTATAAAACTGACATGCAATGCAAAAGCAAATGTTTTCGGTAACCATTTGCATTGATGTTTTCGGTAACTGACATGCATGCACATTTCTAAGGAGAAATTTTCATTAGATATAAATATATAATTTTTTGGGAACAGTGCATGTTATATGCCTATATTAAGTGTAGGAGAATGAATATGCACTAGTCGGGAGTGCAATTTCTTAAAGTTGATGAGATGCATGAATCCATGTGCACAAGGATGCAACACATAGATACAATTCAGATGAGGAAAATTATTAAATATATGTACACGCGATTCTGTAGAAGTTTCAACACATAATACTTCATGATATCATCATCTAATAATGTAATACAATTTTTTGTGACTGATATCAAAATTCCCTTCAATCCTTCATTTGTATTTTTAATCGTGAAGCTAAACAATGATGTCAAAAATGATTCTCAAGTATGTAATGTTTGGACACTGGCACTAAATAACCAATTTTTTTAAATACGAATTTCCTAAACCATATACAACATCCAAGCCTTAGAGCCAAAAGACTAACATGAAAGTAAATCAGCTACGAGCATTATTTATTTTTATTCAAGACTCACATGTACAGATGTACTCTAAGGTTTGTTTGGTAAGTTTCCCGTTTTCTTTTTCCTTTTTATTTTTCAAAAGCTTTATTTCTTATTTTCAAATTTCTAAAATACAAACTTGTGTGTGGGTCTATACTCTATAAGGATGTTTTTACTTAGACTAATTTCAATCCTAAACCAGACTTAAATCTAAAACATGAAATTAATGTTTCTAATAATTTCAAAATAGTAAATTATTGTCAGATAATGAAAAGACTAACATAAATACTACTGCCTAACATATTTTCTATTTTTTATAAAAAAAAATGAAAACAAAAATCAGAAAGAAAAATGTTTGAACAAATGAACAATACCTACATTTAAAACATTCACTTTCACCACAACAGCAATATGGAATCTGATAAATAGGATGTTGCTAAAAACAAGACCTGAGATTCATTAAAAGTAGTAAGTCTAATCTAGGTTGGAAATAAGGTGAAGATAAAAACTATATAGGAATACATTACCTAACTAGTAGTCTAGTACTATAGTTAATTGACTTAATTCTAATCTAGAACTAACAAATAGAGATACATCAACAACATCCAACAACATCCAAGCCTTAGTCTCAAACGATATTGGGGTCGGCTAACATGAATCGATACATGATATCAACAAATAGAGATACATAATTAAAAGTAAAATACAACATCCCCTCGCCCTCCCTATGAAATCCATGAACCAAACAAGCCTGAAAGCTTGGCTCAATGGTACATGACTACATGTAATTCAGAAAAAAAAACATGCAGTACACAATATAACTCACTGCTTAAGAGAATGGAGCTTGTGGTGGTACTTACTCACAGCTGTTAGATGAGCTGCAGTTTCTCCCATCAATCCATCGTTCCCTCATTCCATCATCTCCCACTGGCCGCCTACAGCCATTTGATGAGAATCTACCATCCAGCCCATCAATATTGGTCAACCTTGGCAACCTGTCTAGACTAAGAGGCTCCTCCAAGCTTGACATGATTGCAGATGCACTAGCTTATGAGGAGCTTTCTTCTGCAGGAAAAACAAATATAGATACATATATAAGTACAACTAATGTAAGTGTCCAACTTTCAACATTCAAGACGGGCCAACATTTCTAGCAGCACTAGTTTACGGTTTCTTTATGTGAGAGAGCATGAAAAGGCAAAAACTATAGATTATCAGAGAATTCTTCCACGGGTGTCCACATAAAAACACAAATGTTAGGACCTAAGATTTCATTCTAAGAAAATCAGTATGATTCAAGGAAGGACCTGGGTTATCTACTCGGTGAGTACTCGCAACTCGGGTATTGACCTTGTTGAGTAGCTACCTAACTCGGTCCGTGTTTTATTTCTGAGTTACTCGGCGAGTTTCTCAACTCGGTGAAGTTTTCAACTCGGCGAGTTACTCGGTCTAACTCGGTCCACCCTTATAAAATTGAAAATTTAAGTTACAAAACCTAGGTTAAACGGAATTTCTGACATCCACTATCCCCCTAGAGCTTTGACTATGATTTCTCAATAAGTTGTCATCTTATTTCTTGTATCTTCCCCTCTCCACTCTCCCATACTTCTTCGCCAGTTGTTCTTTTCAGCATTCTTAAAATATCACCATCTTAATTGTTTAATATTGATACACATATGTATTTTGATATAAATAAATTCTCTTCACTAGTATGAGTATATATATTGATGGAGTATATGGCCCAGGGACCCCCGGCCCACAGACTCCTACTACTCCATACTCGGGCACTTATGTTATTAAATTTAATTAATACAAGGCCGAGTAATCACCGCGTAATCCCGAGTAATCGGTCCTACTCACTACTCGGTCCTTGATAGAGTTACTACCGAGTAGCGAGTTAACTACCAAGGGAAGGAGTCAATATCATACTCCCTCCATCCAATTGGACTTCGCCAAATTTCTATTTTTTATTGTCTCAAAAACTTTGTCACTAATTTCCCTTTAAAATAATTAATTTGTGGTTCTACTAATTTCTTTCTCCTCTGCATAAATTTCAACCACATAATTTTTACTTTTCTTATTTCGAACACAACTTGAACCTCGCAATGTCTAATGAGAATGAGATCGTAGATCCCTTCGATCAATAAATGTTGCTCAAACATGACTTGCAAGCGGAATAACAAAGTAAATATTGTTTAGTTCAGGTTTCTACGGAAAAGAGAAAATATTAACTGCAAGTTTGTTAGTTTAAAAGAAAATAACAAAGTTCTTTTTGAATGGCCAAATATGAAAGTTGTCATTTAGTGAGATGGAGGGAGTAGCTTGTTATTTTATACTCCGTATATAGTCAATGTGCAAAATGTTTTTGGCTGGAGAATATGATGGAATAAAGCAAAATGGCTCACTAAACTGTCTGCGCTTCTTTGTTATGAAACAACAGACAGTCCATGCAATTTTGGACGCATTTTTTGCTATGGATCATCCGGAAACAATCTCTCTGGTGCTTTAGTACAGGGGTAAGACTGCGTACATCCGACCCCCTTACCCCATCGTAGATGGGAGCCTTTTCGGCACTGGGGTAATGATGATGATATAGTCAATGTGAAACAAAACTCTTCCACAACATCCAACACTTCATATGGGTATAGCTATGAATCCGGCTGGCTCAAATACTTGGAATAACAAATGATTTCTACCATTATGCAATTTTTACAAATTTAGATTTTCTTGCCCAAATCCCAGACACCAATTACTAGCTGCCAACATCTTTTAAGTATTGATCCTAAAATTTAGGCCATCTTAGCTAAGATCGTCTATGTAACCACTAGTCCGTTACAATTTCATCCATGTAACTACTCGCAAGTTATCAGGCGCAAAAGACCCAGACTTTATTCCAATTTTCTTGATCTGATGCATCAATTATCCTATCCTAACTTAACTTCTCCTTTAAATAGAATTCATCAACAAAAGACATCAACTTTACAACCCCCCAGAAAAATTAGAAATAACCATTCTATTCCCAAGTGCTATACGATGGAAGAAATCAAGAAAACACTAGGGAAAAATCCATCTCTGGAAAACATAAAGCTAAAGAACGTAGAAAAGATTGAAGAAAACAGACCTGGAATTTAGGTTGATGGTGTTAAAGCACAAAGAACTAAAGCAAAGATAAACAGCAATCAAGCAAGAGCACAAGACAACGATATACGTGGTTCGATCAATCTGATCTACTTCCACAAGGGGTGTTGGGAAGTCTTATTAACCCGCAGTCAAAACATACAGTGGCTGAAGTAGTATATCTAAGAATTACAAAGGGGCCACAGGCCATAACAAATAGGCCTAAACAGAACCTAAAACGCAAATGGGCCTAGCCCAGCGAGAACGGGTTTCACCCAACAATTCTCCCACTTGAAAACTGTTCACAGCACACACCCAATGTTCAACAAACACAGATTATTAAAACTCCACACCAACACCCACTTCTGCATTCTCACGCTTGGAGACCAACTGAAGCCACGCACAGCTTCAGCTTGTCAATGGTTACGACCTTCGTCAGCATATCCGCTGGGTTTTCAGCACCCCGGATCTTCTCGAGCAACAGCTGACCGTCATCGACCAAGGAACGAATGAAGTGATACTTCATCTGTATGTGTTTTGTCCTTGAATGAAAGGCAGGATTCTTGGCTAGAAAGATGGCACTCTGACTATCACTGTGCAACACTCCTTTCTCAACCGTTTTCCCCAGCTCACTCATGAACGCTTGAAGCCAAACCATCTCCTTGGCTGCTTCCGTTACCGCAACATACTCGGCTTCCGTTGTTGATAGCGCAACAACCTTCTGTAACTTCGAACCCCAACACACGGCTGTACCACCCAATGTGTAAACAAATCCGGTAGTACTCTTCCTGCTGTCAACATCACCTCCCAAGTCTGCATCCACATAACCATGTAATTTCAGGTCAGCCCTTTTGAAATTTAGCGAGACATCTGCGGAACCGCACAAATACCTCATCAGCCACTTCACTGCTTCCCAGTGTTGCCTTCCCGGATTACTCATGTACCTACTCACTACTCCAACTGCCTGCGCAATGTCTGGACGTGTGCAAACCGCAGCGTACATGAGACTCCCAATAGCAGATGCATACGGAACTTTCGTCATGTAGTTCCGTTCCTTGTCATCCTTCGGTGATTGTTCCTTGGATAGTCTGAAATGACTAGCCAAAGGTGTTCTAACAGGTTTCGCTTCACCCATGTTAAACCTCTTGAGTATCCTTTTGATATACTCTGCCTGAGTCAGCTCCAAAGTCCCTTTTGCTCTGTTTCGGATGATCCTCATCCCAAGAATTTGTTTCGCCTCTCCCAAGTCCTTCATTGCAAACTGACTGAACAATGCCTTCTTCACTTTGTTTATCTCCACAATGTCTGATCCTGCCACAAGCATATCATCAACATATAACAATAAAATCACATAAGACTTGCCACTTCTTCTGGTATAACAGCAATGATCGGCCTCCAGCCGCTGAAAACCACTGCTGCACATGAAGTTATCAAACTTCTTATACCATTGCCTCGGAGCTTGCTTCAGCCCATACAAGCTTTTCTTCAGTCTGCAGACCATCTTCTCCTTGCCTTTCGCTGCAAAGCCCTCTGGTTGATGCATGTAAATGTCCTCCTCCAAGTCCCCGTGGAGAAAGGCGGTCTTGACATCTAACTGTTCTAGATGCATATTCTCAGCAACCACGATTCCCAACACCAACCTGATTGTCGTTAGCTTTACAACGGGAGAAAAAATATCGGTGTAGTCAATACCTTCCTTCTGCTGAAAGCCCTTGACCACCAACCGAGCCTTGTAACGCTTCCCACCGTCTTGCTCGTTCTTCACTCTGTAAACCCACTTATTTTGAAGAGCTTTCTTATGAGCAGGCAGCTTTGTCAGCTCCCACGTTTTGTTAGTCAACAGAGAATTCATCTCATCCTTCATGGCCAACTCCCACTTGATAGAGCTTTCACTCTGCAAAGCCTCATCATAAAATTCTGGTTCACCAGCATCTGTAAGCAGAATATAATTCAAGGACGGTGAGAAACGCTGTGTTGGTTTGCTAACTCTAGAAGATTTCCTGACAGAAGTAGTTGGCATGCTCTGTACTTCCCGCATGATAACTTCTCCTTCATCTTCTTGAGTGCTCTGTGGATCAATCACCTCAGACAACTCTCCCAAATCAACCACATCATGTTTCTCAGTCTCTGGCACAGACGCGACCTGCTCAGTCCTGTCATGGTCCTTGTACAAAACCTGCTCATTAAAAATCACATTTCGGCTCCTTATCACCTTCTTGTTCTGTGCATCCCAGAACCGATAGCCAAACTCCTCATCGCCATATCCAATAAAGAAACACTTATTAGATTTGGCTTCCAGTTTATTGCGAGCGTTATTATCAATATGGACATACGAAACACAACCAAAGATTTTTAGAAACGAGAGATTTACCTTCTTTCCGGTCCATACCTCCTCGGGTAGTCTGAATTGCATCGGAACTGACGGTCCCCGATTTATCAAGTAGGCTGCAGTGCTTACTGCATCAGCCCAAAAATTTTCTGGTAGCCCAGCATGCAACCTCATGCTTCTTGCTCGTTCATTCAAGGTCCTGTTCATCCTTTCAGCAACGCCGTTCTGCTGAGGCGTCCCCGGGATAGTTTTCTGCATCTTTATTCCGTTGACAGCACAATACTTCTTGAATTCTCCATCATATTCCCCACCATTGTCAGACCGTAGACATTTCAGTTTCAAGCCGGTTTCATTCTCTACAGCTGCTTTCCACACGAGAAAGGCATTAAAAGCGTCAGATTTATTCTTCATGAAATAAACCCACACCTTTCTGCTCGAGTCATCTACAAAACTGATGTAGTATCTGTTACCCCCAATGGTTTGAACTGGAGAAGGCCCCCACAAGTCTGTGTGCACTAGCTCCAATTTTCTTGGCTTTGGTGGTCTGCCAGTTTTCAAGAAACTAACCTTCTTTTGCTTCCCAAAGATGCAACCCTCACACAAACCAAACTCTGTAGAC